TCAGGATGATTGTTTGAGACATCATACGTCCCGCGTGCTTTCTTTCTTTTTTCTTACTTCTGCTCTTTTCCTCCCGATTTTTTCTTTTTTTTTTCCTTTTCCTTGGAGCGATGGGTCAGTCAGTGAAATCGGTGAGGCAGCCAGAGGGGGCTGTGTGGGGAATGGCGGCTCTTACCAGCGACTGGAGGCAGCAGCGGGAGGGATGCCCACCTGACAATCTGGAGCTGGCAGCGACAAAGCTCCTCCAGCGATCGGAGGTGGCGGAGACAGCGGTCTTTTCAAGGTGGTGACGCCGGCGAGGTGAGGAGGGCGGCCAGAGAGGCTCTCTTGGTGAGGTGGTGTGGCAGCCTGGTCTGGCAGCCCAGCCGTGGTTTGCCCAGATCAGGGGAACCCCCTGGTTTCAGGGTGAATGTGGGTTCAGCACAGGGCCTGGCATTATCGTGGGCAAGATAGGCCCATGGGCGAAGAGGCAGCACTTAGAGAGTGGCAACTCCTGCATTGCTGGGTCCAACACAGGCGGGCAGTGAGGCAGAGCAGGAGGGGTGGGGGTGCAGGCATCATTGGTGAGCTGGTTCATGGTTCAGGGCACTCTTTCAGTTATATCCTTTATCCTTTTTGTTCTTAACCTGTTCAAAATGGCGCCAGACTGTGGAGACATTTGAAGCTTTTTGCTGTATTTTATTGTATTATTCACTGTGAAATGCAAGTGACAGTAAATAAATCATTCATTCATTCATTGTTAATTCTGCCTTTAGCATTTTAGGTGTTTTATCTTTGGATTTTAGATTTCCAGCAGCTACTGCACTTTAGTTTCTGCCCATTCATGCTCATTTCTGAACTTGTGAGTCACCAGTCGAAAGCCCAATTATCCTTTGACATAATCCCAATGAAGTGTCTTTACCTGCTGGTGTGCGCAAGTCCTGACAGGGAATCTCAGACAGTCTGTAAGGAACCATCCTCAGTGACCCACACTGACATCTGCAGCATGCAAGGATGCCTTTCAGAAATGCATTCACTCTGTCAAGGTAAGAACATGCTGCAGGCTATCATTACAAAGACTCATTCTCATTTACTGTTGAAATCAAGTCAACATGACTGAGCTGTGGATGTCATGTGGGTCACTGATATTTAATTATGCCACCAGGTAGATGGATGCTTTCCAGTGCCCATCAACGATGGCCAGAGATTCTGAATGCTCACTGAATTTAAAATTTTCATCCTTCTTTTCTAATCAACCCATGGCCAAGACTCCCCCTAGCTCTGTTATCGCCTTCAATGTCACAACTCTTTGGGATATTGGTGCTCCTCTAATGTTCTTTTCTTTAGCATCCCCAATTTTATTTGCTCCAGAATCGATGGCCATATAGTGAGCCCACCTAATCTTTAGCTCTTGAGCTCCTACCTTGAACCTCTCTGCCTCTCTACCTGTTTCCTCCTTTAAGAAGTTCCTTTTAATTGTCAGCCAAGCTACTGGTGACCACCAAAGATCACCTTGTGTAGATTGCGCTGCCGTATTTTGTCTAATGATGCCCCAGTGAAGCATCATGGGTGGGACTGTTTATTCTCTCAAAGGTACTATATCAATGCAAGTTGTTGTTGATTTCCAATGCCTCCTCCAGTATGCTTGAAAACATAGAGAGCCACTCCATCTCTCACAGTCCTGTGTTTACCTGCAACAAGGTAGATTGAAAATGTGTTCACCTGATATACTAAGTACCTTCGGTGAGGCTGGCTACAAAAGACAAAATCTCACAAAGATGCAGGTGAATGGGAAAAGTTGTGACAGTTTCATGCCCCAGATGTTAGCATTGCTGGCTGAGCCAGCATTTATTGCTTGACCCTAATTGCCCTGGAGAAGGTAGTGGTGAGCTGCCTCCTTAAACTGCTGCAGCCCATGTGGTGTAGGTACACTCACAGTAATGTTAAGAAGTTCCAGTAATTTTACCAGTGACTCTGAAGGAACGGTGATATATTTCCAAGTCAGAATGGTAAGTGGCTTGGAGGGGAACATGCAGGGGGTGATGTTCCCATGTATCTGCTGCCCTTGTGCTTCTTCGTGGTAGATGTCGTGTGTTTGGAAGGTGGTGTCTAAGGAGCTTTGATAAGTTACTACAATACATATACTCTCAGAATGCATCAGTGATGAAATGATATGATGGTGAATGTGGTGGTTGGGGTGCCAATTCTCCATGTTCTAAGAAATCCCCTTAAATGGCTGCTATTGCATTAGCACACTTGCCTTCATTGCTCAGAACTTTGAGTACAGGAGGTTGGATGTCCTGTTGAGATTGTATAGGATGTTGGTAAGGCCTCTTCTGGAATACTGCCTCCAGTTCTGGTTGCATAGTTATAGGGAGGATATTATTCAGCTGGAGAACGTTCAGAAGAGGCTTGCAAGGATGTTGCTGGGTATGGAAGGTTTGAGTTCTAAAGAAAGGCTGGATAAGCTGGATCTTTTACACTGGAGCACAGGAGGTTGAGAGGTGACCTTATAGAAGTTTGAAAAATCTTGAGGGACATCGATAGGGTTAATGCTGGGTATCTTTTCCCTAGGATGAGGAATTTCAACACTAAGGGGCACATTTTTAAGGTGAGAGCAGAGAGATTTAAAAAAGATATGAGGGGCCAATTATTTACACAGAGGGTGGTTTGCGTGTGGAATGAACTTCCTGAGGAAGTAGTGGATGTGGGTACAATTATACAGTTTAAAAGAAATTTGGATAAGTACACGAATAGGAAAGGTTTGGAGGGATATAGAACAAAAACAAAAAACAAAGAAAATTACAGTACAGGAACTGGCCCTTCGGCCCTCCAAGCCTGCACCAACATGCTGCCCATCACAACTAAAACTCCCTACCCTTACGTGGACCGTATCCCTCTATTCCCATCCTATTCATGTATTTGTCAAGATGCTGTTTAAAAGTCACTATAGTATCTGCTTCCACTACCCCCCCCAGCAGCGCGTTCCAGGCACCCACCACCCTCTGTGTAAAAAACTTGCCTCGTACATCATCTTTAAACCTTGCCCCTCACACCTTAAACCCATGGCCTCTGGTAACTGACTCATCCACCCTGGAAAAAAGCTTCTGACTGTCCAGTCTGTCCATGCCCTTCATAACCTTGTAGACCTCTATCAGGTCGCCCCTCAACCTCCGTCGTTCCAGTGAGAACGACCCAAGTTTCTCCAACCTTTCCTCATAGCTAATGCCCTCCATACCAGGCAACATCCTGGTAAATCTTTTCTGCACCCTCTCCAAAGCCACCACATCCTTCTGGTAGTGTGGCAACCAGAATTGAACACAATATTCCAAATGCGGCCTAACTAAGATTCTATGAAGCTGCAACATTACCTGCCAATTTTTAAACTCAATGCCCCACGAGCAGGCAGGTGGGACTGGTTTAGTTTGGGATTACGTTTGTCATGGGCTGGTTGGTCTGAAGGGTTTGTTTTCATGCTGTATGAACTTTAGCTGTCTGCTTTCATGCACTCTGACAAGGAAAGAATTGAATTGACTGAAGTCTGGCATCCATGATGCTGGGGACCACAGGAGAGGGCTCAAGACTGACCTACCGCTCAGCATTTCTGGCAGAAAATAAACGCTTATGCCTCAGTCTTACCTTTCGCACTAATGTGATGGGCTCCGGTTTCATTGAGGAAGGGGATTTATTGATGGCAACGTGTTGTTGGGGATCAGTGCGTGGTCGGCAGGCAGGCGTGAGACAAAGGTTTGAGAAGTGGAGTAAGGGTCTAGAATGATGCATAGAACAAAAATGTAGTTGGATGTACATCTGTACTCTCCTTCCCTCACCTGGTTATGCCTTTAAAGCGCTTTGTTGAATCCAACCACAAATGCCTTCAAAGTTTGTTATTGAATGGACCTTTCAAGTGCTGGTCTTGAAAATGTGTGTCTTTACAACACTTCCTGTTGCTATGTAAAATGGCAATCCTGAATGTCAACAGATCATGAGCTGCAGACAAACATACTAAGCTTATTTTAGGTTTTTTGTGTTATTTGACACCCTGTACTCCCAGAGCTCCTCTAAATAAATATTGGGATCATTGTCCCTACAATTGTGATTATCCACCATTATCACAACTTCTCTCACCTGCTGTTCCTAACCTCCCCTTTTCCTTTACAGCAGTAAGAGTTTGGTTTATATTTTTAAGTTCGCTGGAAAATTTTATCTTCTTGGTTACCAAAAAAAAAGCACACGTGATAAAGAATGAATGTTTAACTCACAGCCGAGAATCCTTCGACGAAGGAGCAAAGAATTTGTTTATTTCCTAAGCAGTGGAAGAAGGTAGCACCATCTGGGAATGGTAATTTTTGGTGACTAATGGTATGACTGAAAGTGACAGGTGACTGTAGACTGAGAGCCCTGTGGCGAAGCCAATGAGGAATATTCAACATCAGCAACCCTATCAACTAAATTCAGCTGGTTTTCCAGCGATATCAATGGCTGTCTTTGCTCTAGGAGTGACCCTTAAACCATCCATTTTTTCCAGTTACCAACCATTACGAAAATAATCATGTTGGGTGCACTACGGTGATTTGGGTAGTGGTATATTTGTGATGACCTGTGATTGTGTGTGGTTGCCTGTATTGGTGTATGTTGATGATGGTTTGTGCTCAGATATATTCACAATGATCTGATTTGTGGCAGATTAACATTGATTTCTGCTGGGCGAAATTGGCTGATTATCTAACAATGATAACTATGCTTTCACTGTGTAGCTGCTGTGAGGATATACATTCTCCCAGCCAAAAGCAGCAATCTAAGATAGTTTTGCCCTCTCTCCTTGGCTCCAGGGTTACATGGCCAAGCGTCGCTCCCTAGCTGGATTGAAGCCAGGCCCTTGCTCTTCTGGATGACTAACTTGTGCTTTTATCTTCTGCTAAACTCCCAAATGTACAACATCACTGGAAATGAGAAAGGATTTGATATTCAGGGCTTAAATTAGAGATACTTTGTAACTTGTGTCTGCCTTTACTTTGCAGAAGCTAGAAGACTGATATTAACTCGAGAGACAGAAAAGTCAACGATTAGCTCTCAAAATCCCTGCACAAAATCAGAACCAGCATGGAGAAAAAGGTAAGTTGGCAGCTGCTACGATACTAATGTGTTCTTCTGAGAGATTGATGCAAGTGTGACATGGTGGCTCAGTGGTTAGCGCTGCTGCCTCACAGTACCAGGGATATGGGTTCAATCCCACCTTCGGGTGGATGATCTGCAGTTTGCACATTCTCCCTCTGTCTGTGTGGGATTCCTTCGGGTGCTCCAGTTTCCTCCCACAGTGCAAAGGTGTGCAGGTTAGGTGGATTTACCCATGGTAAATGTGGGGGAGTAAGTCTGGGTGTGATGTTCTTCAGAGGGTAAATGCAAACTTGATGGGCTGCAGTAGAATTAATGTCTTCTATGAGAAAGCAGTGCAGAGTTGGGAGTAGCCTTTCAACCTGTCAAAGTTTCATTCTTTCAGCTCCACACTGTACACAGAGCATCCAAATTTCTCTGTGGTACACTGTCACAGCAGATTTTTACTCCACTCCCCTTTGCTGAGGGCAGGTGTGACAGGTGGTTTCCATGCCTTGTAGTAAGTGCCTATTGGCACCAGGTTAAAACCTGCAGCATTTTGTGGCTCAGGCACTCACCCCTTCACTGTTGGTATGTCACAGGATGGCGGGCTGGCGCCCTTGTTTGTTGTTCTAAGAGGGCAAGAGGTGCTTGGTCTTTGCTAGCCAGCGGATGGAGTTTGGACGGAGGTGAACATGGAGATGGGTGAACAACAGTTCAAAGAAACTGACACTGGCTACCCAACGCCTGGTACTGGGTGAAACGTCAGTTGGGCCTCAGTCGTCGAATCCCCATAGTGCCGAAGCAGGCCATTCGGCCCATTGAGTCCACATCGCCCCTCTGAAGAGCAATCCTGTCACCTCTCTGAGAGAAAGCGATGGATCCTGGCTCCTCTGCAGCCACTAGGGCAGCTAACACAGTACTGAGGGCTGCATGGGTCAGAGATGGTTTCTTCTGGGTAAGAGATTACACTGAATGGCTATGGGCTCTCTGACGTAGCTGTTGAACATCCCGTTATAACTCTAAAAATGACAGGGTCATTCTCCTTAGGGTACTGGTCAATATCCAAATCTCAATCGACATCACTAGAAACGTTGCAGTAGTGACCATGCACGATAATCACTTCATAGGATGTGAAGTGCCCTGGGAAATCCTGGAGCATGAACAATTCCACATGAGTGGAGATCTTTGTTGACGCTGAAAATTGCAAAAAAGTCACAGCAGAATGAAGAATACTGACAATCTCGACACCAGGTGTCAGTATGTCATTGATATGGAAGTTGTCTGTGTGGTTTGAATGTTCTTCAGTGCAGGGGGAACAGAATGAGGAATAATGTAATGAAGACAGTCATGCATGACTGTTGTGTTTCAGTTTCTAGTGAAGGCATATGAGAGTCAATGAAATATGAGCTGATTCCTTTAATGCCTGGCTGCAAACTCCTAAGGTGGCCCTCCTCCTGTTATCATACCCTCCTTCCTTACATCCTTTGATTCTCAGATGACAACTGTTGTGCTTCTCTCTCAAAATACAATGTGATCGGTAGCAGAGGGCTGTGATGTGTGCCAGTCCTGTCTGGAAAATCAAGACAAAATCTCCCCGTGTTTCTTCGACGTTCTCTCTATGCGGCACTGGTGCGGCAACTGGGAACGTTCTGAGCAGAGAACATACTGACCGCATATAAATAATGCTAACCCCTGACACTGAAAGTATGTGTAGCCACATAGCAATTGTAAAGAGATCACGCAGCGCAACAAGTCAGTTGTCCACAGAAACAATAGATGGAATCTTACAGTAGTCTGATTGACAGGGGCTATGGTGACACGTGTGGCAAAGTACAGAGAGGCCCACTTTGCTATTATCTTACTCCATTTTTATGCTTTTGACAAGCAGCATGTTGAGATTCTCATCAGGCAGCAGCAAGAATTTTTTTCCCCCTTTATTCACCATTGCTGGCCAGGCAGCATTTGTTGCCCAGAGTCAACCACATTGCTGGGGACCTGGAGTCACATGTAGGCCAGACCAGGTAAAGATGGCAGGAAGGTTTTCCCCCTGCCTTGACAATTAATTCATGGTCATCATTAGATTCTTAATTCCAGATATTTTATTGAATTCAAATTCCACCATCTGCCACACCAGGATTTGAACCCAGGTCCTCAGGAAATTATCTAGGGGGGTCTGGATTAACAGTCCAATGATAATACCACTAGGCCATTGCTTCCCCTTTGATGTCAACTGATTGAGATTACTTCTTGTTATTATTTATGAGATTTATCATTATTGTCAGATGTACTGAAATACAGTGAAAAGTATTGTTTTGTGTAAGCCACCGCTCTCCAGCGCCATCTGTTTACATAGCATGTTATTACTGCAACAGCTTTGATATTTTTGGTTGAGCAATACGTCACTTCCGTTTTCTTCTCAGTGTCCAATTATTGTTTGTGTAATAGTTCACTCGGCTGTGAATTTTTTTGGCTTTCCTTCCTCTTGTTCCTCACCCTATATTCGTCCAGATGTTGGTGCTGGAGATCGGCTGGAGTTTTGCTTCCAGGCTCTTCCTCCATTATCTCTCCTGTGGCTGTGTCCGTGTTGTTGCTGGCCATGGGCTCGTTAATGCATTCCTTCCCCCCAACCACTTTCCATCTTCTCAAACTCATCAAACAATCTCGACCTCGGGAAAACCTGGCCAGCAAACGGGAATGGGAACCTGATGAAGTCCGTTCGCCAAGTGCCCGGAGCGACCTCCATGTCGCATACTGGGCACAAACGTCTCAGGGCCCCGAACCGGGGCAGGAGACACACATCCCTTCTGTCCATGTATGTTTGGCACCTTCCAACCGGTCAGGACCACTTTTCTGATGCAGTGCGCTCTCGGCGCATTGCAGAGTGCCTCAGTAACTAGCATTGAAAGGCTGCAGCAGGGACACCCAGGCTCTCAGATTGTACTGTGTTACATCTCAGGGCTGCTCTCTTGATATTATAACACTCGAGAGGGGGTGAGTGACGACCGCAGTTGTGTGTGACACTGCTGGGCCTGGTTCTCCTTGGCAACCACCGCCCTGTCCATGGAGACAGAAAGACAGTCACGTGGCTCTCTGCACTGCTGCTGTTTCTGGGCCCTGAGGGCCATTCCCTCTCACATTCCTGCCTGCAGCTCCTGTCCCACCCTGTGCAGGTGGATGGAGTCCCCGACTCCTGACTCCAAAGGATCGTCTCCTGCCTGGGCCTGAGCAGGCGCCTGGTCTCTGCCCGTCCTCCAAGTGCCAGTGACCTGGGCCGTGTCTTCCTCAACCAGCTGCGGAGCTGTCACAGTGAGGTGCTCACCAGATTAAGATCCCACACTGTGTAAACCTAACATCAACCTCTGAGGTGTCTGAACTGGTGGAGTGCCCAGGAAGCGGCTTTGATGATGCTTCCTCTGAGGCCTTATGACTGTCATCCTCAGCAATGGAGAATGCGAATCCTGGTGTAGGCAGACATTTCTCCACAGAGGCTGAGGCAGGCTTGTGGGATTTGCAAGACAATATCGAGAGAAGGCTTCATGGCCAGTGATTGGATATGGCGCGCAATAACCGGGACTAACAGCGAGGTGAGGCATGTGAGGTTTGCAGTAGAATGAAAACTGGCACTTACTTAGATTTTTCGTATTTGCCTGTGAAATGTGAGTGCTGTTTGTGGGGCCAACATTTATTGCTCATCCCTTGAGAAGGTGATGGTGAGCTGCTTTCTTGGGGTTGCGTGAAGTTGGTGGGTCATGGATTTTTCTGCACTTCTTCTGCAGGAGAGGGCCTGGTCTTCTCCAGCGAGGGCCAGGATTCCCTCCCCACAGAGAATAAGGAATTGGATGTCGGGCATTCCACTCGTACATGCTCACTGTGCCCTAGCGTGGGTTGTCTCCTCCTGTGTGGGAAGGGAGCAATAAGTGAGATTACAATGGGTGACATGGCTGTTAGTGCTAGTGCATATGGGGGAAGGTGTGCTGTAGGACACAGTAGGGTTAGGATTAGGGTTAGGGTTATGGTTAGGGTTAGGGCTAAGGTTAAGGTTAGTTGACAGTGCAGGCAGCATGCAGAGTTACTGATATGGGAGGCTGGGTATGGATAACGAATGTGCAAGATGTTGCTGGTAGTAATGAGTGTGTTAGAGCATGAACATTGGGTGGCAGTGTGGGCGGTATCAGAGATTAAGTGTGCAGCAGCAGAGAGAACACCTGACAGAGGAGAAAAGATCATTGTTACAGAGATGGTAGGAACTGCCGATGCTGGAGAATCGGAAATAACACGGTGTAGAACTGGATGAACACAGCAGGCCAAGCAGCATCA